ATACTACATGATTTCACTTATATGTGGAATCTAATTAACAAAATAAACAAAAATATTTGCCCTGTGATTTTTTTTTCTCCTTTAATGCCTATGAGCATTCTCCACTGCTTGAATTGGCTCAGGCTTGGCATTCATCTTCCTTGCCTGGTTTGATGTATACAAGTTTCTTTGATCTCAATTCAGATTATTCTGATTTTTTTTCTTTCTTTTCTGGTGACAAAGTGTCTGCCTGGTATTTCTCTGCTAAGATTAGTCAGCTTTCTAATAGGAACTTGCTGACAGCCCTACCTCTCAATAGTGCTTCCTGTTTTCCCACTCTTCACCTTGACTATTCACTTTTAGCCATTCAGACTTGATGGTCAGGCAGCCATTTTCAGACATCAAGGAATGTAATTTCTCAGGCGAATCTAATGCCATGATAAGAATTCTTAATAACTTCCTTTACATATATTACTAAATGCTAATATATGAAATGATAAAATAACAAGAAATAATAAAAAGAGTGAATTTTGAGACTTCACTTATATTTTAATACAAACTAAAATTTATTGTCAAAAGTTGGTTAGCACTTGGTTCCTTATCTTAGACCCAGGCTTTTGCTTGTAAAGTATATTGCTTTTGGATGTTCATTGTCACATTCCTTGCAATGTCTAAAGCTGATCTTTTTCGCTGGCCCACCAAACCAATTTTTTTTTCACTTCTCTGTCAATAGCCAGCTCCTTTTAAAAAAATTCCATCAAGTCCAGAAGCCATGTGGTTATGTCTTAATACTTCCCCTCCATCATCCACTAAAGCGACCAAGGCATCAAAGCATCAATGGCAGTTGCTTTTCCATTCAAAATATACAGATCCAACAGCCCTTCAGCAACAGCTTGTTTTAATTCATCTGCACTAAATCCCCACTTAGTGCAAGTGCCACTTTCTGTCTCCCATTCCAACATACAAGTCACCCTGTATACTGCAGATAACTTAGTTTCCCAAGACACTACTTTTACTAGGTCATTATGTCTGATGCTGCCTATTTATTAAGAACAAACTCTGCAACCTGAGAACTGAGGATTCAAAAAGAGTAGCTTTTTTTCATGTTTCCTCTGTCTGGATTTGCCCTTTTTATTTAGCTGCTTCTCCCCTTCATTTGAGTCACCCTTCACCCTTCAACAACCCACTTTAATGTCACTTAGTCTATGAAGTCTTTTCTGAACTAATTAATCACTTCGCCCTCTGTGTTTTATAGCATCCATCATATCATAATACAGTTAGCTTTTTATCTGTCATTCTCTTGTACTTTCTCTTTCACTTTTAAGGTTAGGGACTAGGCTTTCGTCATATATTTATCCCCTAAACACAGTACAATATCTGCCATAAAGTATGAATTTAATACAAATTGGTTGAGTGAATTTATGAATGAATAGATTAATAAAATAATAGTGGCTATTTTTCCATGTGTTATTCTTACCTCTGCATTTGCTTAAACTTTACTTTTCTGAAAAGCTTGCATTGTTATCCAAAAATTAAATTTAATATATTTTTGAAGAATAGTTCAATATGATATGATATGTTCAACATTATTAGAACTGTTTAAATGTAGACATGTATTTAACAATTCTAAGGAGTCTATATTAGAGTGGTAGGATTTATTGTTACTAATATTAAATTTGTAAATAGATGCTCCATTGTATCTTATTGTGCTACTTTTTGAAAGTAGAATAGTGCACAGTGTCCTTAAAATATGAAGTAGAATGAAAACTAACTGTTGAATGTGCACCCTAAGTATATTATTCCCTACACACACACACACACACACACTCACAGATCAGAACAAAAGCTACCTTTCCATTATACTTTCCATAAATAATTTTATTATTTTTATATATCTGATATATATGTGTATATATATATATGTAGATATATATGTATATATCTACAAAAAATAATTATATTATTTTCCCCAAAATTCTTTAGCATTTCTAGTCTGTAAGAGGAAACTATTATTTTATTTGCTGTGGCTAATTACTTTATTTTATCTCATCTCACATTATAGTCACTATTTACTTAACTTTATTTTTAAACTTCCATAGTCTCAGGTCCACAGTAGGCAATGGATCAGTACTTAGTAGTTTTTTGCTGTTATTATTGTTATTGATGATGATGAGGAGGAGGGTCCCAGCCAGGGACTGACAGGCTAAGATCATTTATTGTGACACAGGTCCTTATAAAAACTTAGCACCTTCTCTCCTGCATGCCCTTTGTAGTTTTGCTAAATTTGGTTTGCCTCTGGCAAGAATTTTCTTTTTTCCTTCTCAATTTAAGGTCTTCTCTCTTCTTAGTTTTGTGAGTGCTCTTCTGCCAGGCTTTCCTTCCTCTCCTCTCTGTCTCTCTTAATGCTTTTTCCCCCCTCAATTATACAATATTATTCTCTTCAACAATGTAGAATATATATATATATATGATTTACTAATTGATGTAACACTACTAAATTTAGACACTGCTTCTTGAAATTCTACTTACTAGGCAAGTAGTAAGTAGACGCATGAAGTGACATATCACATATAACTTACATTTGCTTAAATAAGAAAATTTCATTTTTGAAATTTACCTAAGATTTTATTTTTATAATTATAAAGCCGATTACTTTATACCACTTAAAAATCACATATATATAACCATTATATGTTTACTAAATTTTAATATTGATCAATATATAGTTATTGCTGCTAACTTTATAATTTGGATTAAATAAAGCATCATTTTAAGTTGATTTTACACTGTGCTTTTATGAGACATTTGAGTGACATAATGGTATGGGCAATCACTATTTGAAGATTCAAATATTTTACCTTCTCAATGGAAATCACCTCTTCAATTAGTTCTTCTTATAAAAAATGTTTATTGGTTAAGTTGAAATATAATTATACATTTCGTGATTCCTGCCATGAATTTCAACATCAAATAATTTTAATGTGTATTTTGAAATTGAGTAACAAGATTGCATGCCTACTTAAAAGTAGCATTAACATTTTTATTTTGGAAATACATTATTTTCTCTTTTATAATTTTGCTTTATAATGCACTTAAAATGAGCAATGTATATACCAGTCTTATTGTTCTTAAAATTTTAAATCACAAGGTCCACCTTCATGCTCTTTAATTTGTCTTACATGAAGAATTTAAGTCGAGAAAAAATACGGTATTAGTTTATGTCATATTTGTCAATTAATTTGTTGTAAGTTTGAACTTCTCACTGTGGCCTCTTTTTTAAAATTTTTATTTTTTAAAATATTTTTATTGATTTTAGAGAGGAAGGGAGAGGGAGAGGGAGAGAGAGATAGAAACATCAAGGATGAGAGAGAATCACTGATTGGATGCCTTCTGCATGCCCCATACTGGGAATCAAACCCGCAACCCAGGCATGTGCCCTGACCAGGAATCAAATCATTACCTCCTGGTTCATAGGTCAACACTCAAATCACCAAGTCACACCAGCTGGGCTCACTGTGGCTTCTTATGGTCGGAACAGTCTTCTGGAACTCAGAGTGACTTTGGATTCAGTCATTGGTCCATTGCCCCTCTGAGGGAGCAGAGACCAATGATGTGAAACTCTTAGGATAAAAAAGGACTGAAGAAATTAGATACATAGTCAATAGACTATAAAATAAGCTATTATAAAGTAAATCTTACAGTATATAGTTGGATGGCTAATTACTTGAATCATTGATTAAACATGCTAAATCACTGAGCCAGTAATGATGAGCAAAAATGTTTCTTTACAGCCAGATTTAAAGTAATACACATACATGCCCAATTAACTATTGTTTTTAGCATATTTATTTTCCATTTCTATTTTTTTTAAAGTCCAGGATTGATGTTCTCTCAGCTTGAAATTACAACTCACTAAGAAATAACACACTATTTATCTGCTGGCTCAAAACTAGGATGCTCCAGGAATGAATTCAGAATTAGCTAGAGCAATTTAAGTGTTGCCCTCTTTAATCTCGGTAATGATACTCAGGTCCCAATTATCTAGGGGCTATTTAGCCCTTGTTATCTCTTGCTACTTCTTTTTTCTTTCTCTCCTCCCTCAATGAAGGCAGGAGGCCAGGCGGAGGAATAGCTGGCAGCATTTTTTTTTTTTTGACAAAATCCAAGCTGTTTCTTTAAAGCAGCCTTCATAAAATAAAAAAAACAGAGATGTAATTTTTCTTTACAGATTATTCCTAACATAACAAATCAGCTTTTATTACAGAAAATGCTAATGTCTCAAGGATGAACAGAATAAAAGTCTCATAATTTTGTCTGTTTTCACAAGTTAATTTAATGGAATATTAATATCTACTGATCTTCATTTTATGTCCCTTATTCTGAATTCACATCCACATTATACATCCACAGATATTATAGTTTCATGTCAATAATGTTTTTTATTATTTATTGTGGCCTCCTGAAATAAATGTGTATGTGTAAGTGTGTGTGTGTGTGTGTGTGAGAGAGAGAGAGAGAGAGAGAGAGAGAGAGAGAGAGAGAGAGAGAGAGAGAGAGAGAGAGAGAGAAGAGAGACTGAGCTGTTCAATGGTACTAGAAATAAATGGTGTAAATAGCAAAATAGCACTGGAACCCTGAAATTTAGTTAATACTGAACTCAACTTAGAAGGTTATTTGGGACTGGGATTGTAGTCTTGACCATGCAGAATGCATGAATAAGCTTAGTCAGTTTCATTATGTGCCCACTGTCCAAATTTGCTTTAACCACTGTTAAAGTGCAGAGTCCACTGTTTCTATCTATTTGTAGTTCATTGATTTTGTTTCATGTGCTCAGATCAACCACTTTTATTTTAGACTAACTTAAGGGGCATTTTATATACTGGGTTCTCTTTAGAGTTAAGTCTTGCCATGTAGGCTGATGAACATCATCAATTAAGTAACACGGATTCTGTTCATGTTGTCACACACATTCTGTCATAACCATGAATCACCTTGTTATTGCCCTGTCTACTGTATTGCAGGAAAAACAGAGGTTTCTGACAGATGTTCTGCATGAAGTGATGCTGCTTGATGGCTTGGCCAGTTCCCATCCAGTATCACAGGAAGTGCTACAGGCAACAGATATTGACAGGGTGTTTGACTGGATCGCATATAAAAAGGTGAGAATAGGTAATACCCAAGTGCTAATTGGATATTTCACTAATCTGAGGAAGCCAAACTATTTCATGCTACATGTATTATATTCTTCTCTTCTTCCTGGTTCATAGAAATGAGACTGTGAGTTAGAAAATATTTAGAGTTACTAAGTTCGTGTTATTTTACGAGTTAGAACTTTGTTTTATAAATCAGTAAAATGAAGATGAATGTTTGCCAAATGCATAGAAATATTGGAACTATTAATGAATAAATGTTTGGAGACTGAATAAGAAATTGCTGTAGAAATGGAGTTATGTAAATGTCAGTTGTAATATTATTAATACTAGAGGCCCGATGCATGGAGATTCATGCAAGAATGGGCCTTCTTTGCCCTGGCTACCGGCACCGCCTTCGCTCTAGTCAGAGCTGCCTTTCTGCCTTTGCTCCAGCCCGGAGCTGCCTTTCTGCCTTCCCATGGGGCCCAGAGGCCGGGAGCAGCTGGGGCGGTGCTGAATGCCTGCATCATTGCCATGGTGTTCACAACGCAAGCATCCCGCCCCGTCCACTGCAGTTTGGCACCTGCGTATACTAATTAACCCACCATCTTTGTTGGGTTAATTTGCATACTCACTCCTGATGGGCTGGTGGGTGTCATGAAGGTAGGTCAATTTGCATCTTTCTCTTTTATTAGTGTAGAAGAGAACTGACCTATATACTGACAAATTATTTTTTCCTGAATGTCCCTTAAAAACTTACTTATTTTGACTGCAGATGCCAATGGGGGTATAGACAGTGATATGACATATATTTTAAAAACAATGTTTAAGGAATATTTGGGGGGTTAAGCAAGTTTCCTAGATTATAAGCATAATAAATGAAAATTTAAAGACTAGACTTCAAATGGCAGAGACTTTGGTCAAATGATCAGTCATCAAAATATGGTACACAATGAACTTTTTCCCATTGTTGCTTGGATTAGGATTTTCCTTATACCCCTTCTTTCAGTTCTAATTTTAGTAGAGCATGTGTATCTCACTGTTTAATACTTAGTAGCCATTTAATAATTATTAAAATGGTGTTAGAGTCTACTTTATTATTGGTGTATTGAATTGCATTTATGGGATTTCTATGTACTTTATTTATTTAATAATATTTTGTTTTTAAAAGTGTTAAAAGCAAGATAGTCTTTTTTCTTAAAAACAAGATATTTCTAATTATAACTAAAGATCAAATAATGATTCATCAGAATTCTTTGGTGCAGTAATTTAGATATATGGTTTTACATTCAAGTAATGACTATCTCAATGATTATTAGTTAATACTATATGCTATAATATGTAAGGATATACATAGTGCTACAAAATATCTGTTCAAGATACTGATCATCACATTGGCTCAGAAAGGGTATTTTCGATATTTTATAAAAATAAGTGAAAGTGTAGAATTATATTTAAAATCTATTAATTTTTATATATGAGGTTTTGGGCTAGATTTTGCTGGATATACATTCAGTTACTTAAACTGTATTGATTCTTGAAATATAATGCAAAAAAATAATTTAAGATAGTTTGAGATGAGTTTAGAGACATGTCCGTAGTTATTTCCCACCTACCACCAATTTTATGACTATTTGTAAATAACAACTTACTTCAGGATGAATATTAGAAAAATATTATTTTGAGTAAATATGTTACAAGTATGCTTTTAGACATAAATAACATCGATTCCAGCTTCATTATATTTGAATAATTACAAATTTATTCAAGAAGTTTAAGACACAAAACAGTAGGAAAGAGTAAAGATATAATTATTATTTTACCCTCTTTATATTTTGGTGCAAAGGCTTGCCATTTTACAAATGTGATAAACGAGCAAACTTTGCCATGATTCTTAGGACCATCATTATAATGACTACTAGATACTGTTTCTAGCCATGTATTTCTTTAAACTTTATTGAGGAAACAATTGACAAATGTAATTATACATATTAAAGTGTACAATGTGATGATTTAATATACATTGTGGGATGATTACTAATACATCCATGGGATGATAATTAATACATCCATCACCTCACACAGTTAACTTTTCTTTTGTGGTGAGAATGCCCAGGATTGACACTCAGCAATTTTCAAGTATGTGATACCATATTATTAACTACTAGAGGCCCAATGCACAAAATTTGTGCTAGAGTAGACCTTTGCCGCCCTGCTGCCTCGGCCCTTGCAGCCTCGGCTTTGTCCGGAAGGTCATCTGGATGGTTGTCCCGCTGTTTGGCTGTTCGGTCGATTTTCATATTACGCTTTTATTATTATAGATAGTCACCATGATATACATTAGATCATCAGAACATCTTCTCACTCCTAAAAATGTGTACGCTTGGACATATATCACCCCATTTCCCTCTTTCAATTGACCATGGCCATCACAATTATATTCTCTATTTCTATGAAATTGGCTTTTTAAAAAATTCTCATAGAAGTAATACTATATAATATTTGTCTTCCTCTGTCTGGCTTATTTTACTTAGCATAATAGCCTCCAGTTTAATTCATGTTGTAAATGGCAGGATTTCCTTCTTTTTGTGGCTGAATAGTGTAAAATATATGATATATTAGAGGCCCAGTGTATGAAATTCATGCATGGGTATGGTCCCTAGGCTTGACCTGCGATGAGGGCCATCTTCCCTGGCTCCCTGCAGCTGGCTTCTACCCCCACTGCCACCCACCCCTGGTTTCCTTTTTGCCATCAGGCAATCGGAGCCTGCCAGCCTGGGAAAGGGACCAAGAGTTTGTCAGTGCACCTCATAGTGACTGGTCGAGCAGTCGTTCTGGTCGTTCCGCCATTAGGGTCAATTTGCATATTGCCCTTTTATTATATAGGATAGAGGTCCAGTGCATGGGTGGAGGCTGGCTGGCCTGCCCTTATGGGAGCCCCGGATCAGGGTGGGGATCCCTGCTGGGGCCAGGGTGGGCTGGGGTGAGGGTCTATGGGTGGTTTGCAGGCTGGCCACATACCTGATCATGGTGGGGGTCCCTGCTGGGGGTCAGTGCCGGCTGGAGCGAGAGGCCACAGTCATTCTGGTCTCTGGTCATTCTGGTAGTTCTGTCATTTCATTCCCTGGGCTTTTATTATATAGGATTTTCTATATTAATTAATTCATTGAAAGACTCTTTCTTTTGTATTTTGCCAATTGTGAATCAATGCTAAAATGAACATGGGTTTGTAGATAGATATTTTTAAGATACTGATTTCAGTTCCTTCAGATATACCCCTGAGTGGGATTGCTAGATCACATCGTAGTTCTATTTTTAATTTCTTGAGGAACTTCCATATTGTTTTCATAATGGCTGTACCAATTTACATTCTCAGCAGCACTGTATAAGGGTGACCTTTACTTCCCAACCTTGCTGGCATTTGTAATCTCTTGGCTTTTTCATAATGGGTATGAGGTGTTAGCTCATTGTGGTTTTGATTTGCATTTTCTTAAAAATTAGTGATGTTGAGCCCCTTTTCATATACCTGTTGGCCATTGTATGTCTTCTTTTCAGGTTCGTTGCCCATTTTTAATTGGATTACTTGTTATTTTGCTATTGAGTTATATGAGTATTTTATATATTTCAGATTTTAACCCCATATCAGATATGTGGTTTGCAAATGTTTTCTCCCATTCTGTAGTTTGCCTTTTGAGTTTATCGATTGTTTCTGTTGTTGGGCCAAACCTCTTTAGTTTGATGTAGTCCTAATTGTTGTTTTATTTTTTGTTTGTTTTTTAGCTCTTGTTGCCTGTGCTTTTGGTATCTTATCTAATCTTTGCTTCGACTAATGTCAAGGATATTTTCCCCGTTGTTTTCTTCTAGGAGTTTTATTGTTTCAGGCTTACACTTAAGTCTTTGATTCATTGTGAGTGAATTTTTTTTGAGTAGTATATGAAAGGAGACCAGTTTAATTCTTTTGCATATGGATATTCAGTTTCACACCATTTATTGAAGAGACTATCCTTTTCCCATGTATGTTCTTGGTGCTCTTGTCAAAAATTAGTTGACCATATATGCATGGATTTATATTTGGACTCTATTTCATTCCACTGGTTCTATGTACCTGTTTTCGTTTGTTTGTTTTTGTTTTTTGCAAGTACCATTCTGTTTTTATTACAATCTATATATATATAAAAGCCTAAGCGACTATCACAACTGAAACAACCAAGTGGACGACCAAACAGGCTAGGAGGAACGACCAGGCTGGCAGAGGGGTTAGTGAGGGACAATCAAATGAATGAGCAGCAGGCTGCAAAGATAGTGGTGCCCATAGCCAATAAGGGGGGAATGTGCTAATTGACTGCCACACTCTCAAAGATGGCAGCACCCACGGCCAATAAGGAGGGAATATGCTAATTGACTGCCACACTCTCAAAGATGGTGGCGCCCACAGCCAATATGGAGGGAATATGCTAATTGCTGCCACGCCCTCAAAAATGGTGGCACCATAGCCACAAGATGGTGGTGCTCAGTTCCCTCAACGCTGCTGGGACAGCAGGCGTGTGGTAAGGTCGGGCCCACACCCAGGCATGCCTGGCTGCTCTGCGCTCCTGCCTCCAGAGTCCCCCAGTCCCTTCAGCCCCCCAGCTGCCCAGGGTCAACCCGAGGTGCAGGTAACCAGGGCTGGCTGAGGCTTGCACTGCCAGCAGTGGCAGCAGCAGAGGTGTGATGGGAGCATCGCCTTCCCCTGATCACCGGGTCACCTCCGACCCCTGGGGGCTCCCAGACTGTGAGAGGGGACAGGCTGGGCTGAGGGACCCCCCCTCCAGTGCATGGATTTTCATGCACTGGGCCTCTAGTAGCTTTATAATATAGCTTAAAATTAGGGAGTGTGATGCCTATAGCTTAGTTGTTTTTTAGGATTTCATGATTGCTTTGACTATTTGAGGTCCTCTCTGGTTCCACATCAATTTTAAGATAATTCACTGGAGATTTGATAGGGCTTGCATTGAATTTGTAGATCACTTTGTGTTGTCTGGATATTT